ACTGAAGAAGGTGGGATCCTATTTTGGGCCTATTCCGCGGTTTTCCCTGCTTTATTCTTCTACGTTGAATCAACTACATCACTACTTCATATATGAACATGGAAGTCTCGAGTTTTATCCCGAATTGCCTTTAGGATTGAAGACTGGTTCGAGTATATTTCTTGGTACGTCACATGGCAAGTTCATTCTGAGCTAGTCAAGTGCTAAAAGGAAAAAGTGATGTAACAACGAAAACAGGGTGAAAATCGTGTCGAGGGAATCACTATTGTGCCACGACCCCCCCCCAACCCTGAAAAGGGGATCTCAAATACGATCCTCCCGCTCACATCATCTATATGTGATTAAAACAGTGATCAATTACATATCTGTTCTTTTTGTTTATGTTTACAATGAAAATGTGAAAAAAGTTCATAATCAAGTTGTACTGTGATGATCACAGACCTAGAAAAGCTCCTTTGAAGAAAATAACTTGAGGCGCGCCCGGAATGAAAAATTGGAAGATTCTGGAAAAAAGGCCCACGGGACACTAATCATAAGATCAAAACGCTCACTTTTCGAAAGCAGACAAAGCGCTACTAAGCGAAAACGTTGAAAGCAAACTAGTACTGGGAAAAAGTTCATCCGCAATCAAGTGCCAATGACAATCTGTTAAATCTCTCACTCAACGAATACAGCGCCAAAAACAAACAGAGGACTCCTGTAATACACAATATTCTTCTACCAATACAGGGACTATTGCTCATACAAGACACAAGCGATATGCAAAAAATGATAGAAAGCAATGGGAAGAAATGATGAATAAGACCTTGAGTGGGAATGATATCGGATTTTAAGGAAGAGGTTCTCCCTCACACGGCTGCGGCGCGGCTCAAGCGGGGGAGCGAATTATATTATTACTATGTTATAACTCCCCTAATAGTGCGATCGCTTAAGGTGGTCGGAAATTACGATGCATCCGGTTGCAGCTTCCCAAGTCGCAGAGCGGCTCGTTTCACTTCTTCGTGCTGGCTTTCTGTCGCTGCTAGCACATTTTAGGGGTACCGCCACTGTTGAATCCCTGGACACATTTTAAAACCTGCTATGAAACCCCACTCGCTACTGT